GAGGATGCCAAACCTCTGTTTCTCATTTAAAGAGAAGCACCTGTTTCTCATTTGAAATAACACTGTGTTACACCATTTTGGCTATGTAAAAAAAAAATCTTCTGGGGTTGGTATAGGTTATGTTTACCCACAAATAAAGCTGTTTGCATTGATAGAAAGTTTATGCTGGCCATACTGGCCATAGGCCTCACATCTTTGCCCTTGAGGAGTGCTCTCAGCATGTGTTTAAAGAAGGCATAGGCACCCAGTAGTACCAAAAACATTTACTAAATGTCTTAAGTGTACAGAATGTATTTACTGAATATTCTGCTATAAAGGAGAGCTTAATTGCTGATGTCAATAAAGAAGTATTCTGATAATGTCTGGTCTGTAAATGACTGAAATTATATTGCTCCAGCTGAAAGGCTTTGATCAGTAACTAATTTTGTGAAATCAACATAACAAGGAAAACGACTTTATTCTTTATAAGTAGAACAACTATGGTTTCTTTGAGACAATGCTGACTTTTTGATTTTGCATTGCAAACAGCAGTATTAGTTGATCACTGCTTACTAGAATGAAATTATTGCAAATGTATTTATTTCATTCCCATATGTTATGGTCTCATATGCTATAGTAGATAATGCTGAATATAAAGCATAAGCATGTATACAGTATGTAACTTGAAGATGTTCATATACATATCTGTATATATACCTATATGGTCCTACTTGCTGGCAACATTTCTAACAATAACTGCATTAACATGTTAAAAAAGCAAAGTGAAGTAAATACAGGCACTTAGAATTTCTAGGTATGCTTCTGAAGAAACACAGCTCAAAAGTAGCAGTCATCACTTGGGAATGATTCTCAGCCTCTGTTAGCCAGGCCCTACCTCTTTTTCATGAAAAATGAAATGGACACCACTAAATTAAGCAGGAGGTCCATCCCAAAAATCACTTCTCAGTTGTAGGAGTGGGTTAGATGTTTTGGGGTGAGGGAAATCCCACTGTCACTTTCCTCTAAGGAACTGACACTCCCCCTATGCTTGAATTCAGTCTGATAAGGACCGTTAGTCCTGGGGTAGTTGTCCTTCAAAAAGAATAGCACAGCTGGATAAGCAATGCTTAACAGCTTAACCTAATTTAATTCTTTAATTTGGCAATTGTGCATAAAGGGTTCTGGTGCATAACAGGGGAGTAGAAGGTGGATAGGAAAGTTCACTTTGCTCTAGAATTGGAAGGAAAGGCATGAGTTTGGTGGAAACTGGTGAAAAGAACTTGATTCAGCACTTGCCAAACTTTGTGCAAAACTATCAGCTCTCAATGCTTTCTCTGAAGAACATCAAGCGTGTGTATATAATCACACATTTCCTTGAAAGCATGATACAAATAGAATCATTCTGTGGACTGAGGGTCCACCAGCACTTTTAATTAATATAATTATATTCATTATCATCGGAGTTAAAGTAGTGTTTATTTTGTTTCTTTCTTTTCCCACACTTTCATTCTCTTTCTGTTGGGATTTCAAAATGTTCTTTGTCCTGGGTTTATGTTGTGCCTAAAGGGCAGCCATATTTTTTCTGTAGCATTCCATTGCCTTGGCCTATCTACCTTGTCTTCAGCTGCTGATTTTATTTTTTTTTATTTTCAATTTGGCAACAGTATTGAATGATGATGGTATATGGAAAGGCAGGTCCAAAAGGCAGCCTACTCCTAGCCTATGAAGAACTTGAAAGGCTCAGAGTAAGGCTTTGACCTGAACTCCAGAACAAGTAAAAGCCACTCAAAGAGCAAAAGGATTGTCAAGAAAAGCTAGGTTTGTGGTCCTAGTCTCTATTGGCTAATCTATGTGTACAATACCACTTCGTACCATTAACTAAATATAATATTCTGTCACCCTCTAGTGGTGGGTCTACAACACCATACTTCTGATAGTAGAAAAGATTTACTCACTGTATGTCTAGTAGAAGACCTCGGTTTGGTGGCCTCTGTGTACGGACGTGTAATTTTGGTCTCCATTGCATTTGTCTGTAAAGTAATTCTATCCTATAACTTCATGCCAAAAATTAGAGATTTAAATTGTCAGTGTTGGTTTTGGGCAGATTAATTAACTAAAGAGGATTTTAAAAAAATTATTTCTTTCCTCTTCTTCTTGGATAAGGCAAGAGAAAACTGATTGAATTCCAACCTGCAAAGTTAGGGAATGTGACCATTTGTTTGAAGCCCATAGTGGTTAATCAAATCCCTTCTTTTTGAATTCCTAGTTTTACCCATAATAAAAGTCCTTGTCTAAGGCTCTCTGATGCCATACTGGACACTTGGTATATTTCACAGTAAAGACACATAACAAAGCCAAAACATTTGACATCACCTATTCCATTAGCTTCAGTAATACTTACAAAATCTGTGTTTCTGACCCAGCCTGAGAAAAAGCTGAAAGTGCAGTATGCTGGAGAATAGCGTTTAATGAGTTCATTTATCAAGATTACCAGTAACTGATAATATTGATGTGTTTTACACTGATATTGGACAATTTGGCTTCAGATCACATATTTAAAGTGTCCTAAGTAACAGCAAAATACTTGGTCTGAAACTGAAGTGTTGTGCTTTTCAGTGCATCAGGGGGTAGTGAAACATACAGAAAGCTGATTGATAGCTCTAGACAACTGGAACAGTCCCTTTTGATCACTTTGCAAATGCTCTTCTCAGAGGTAAAGCAAGTGTTTTTCATCTTTGGCCTGAGACTGTACAATTCTTCTTGACATCATTTGGTATTTGAAGTATTAAATGATACTAAATATCTGGTATGTTTGTAATTTTATCAGTATGGGCCACGCATTTGCCACTTACGTGTGGACTCAGGTTACCCAATAATTAAATTGATTCACTGAATCTTTGTTAAAGAGGTGTATGGCAGCATCTTTGTAGTCACAAATGAAATGTAAGTATGAGGCAGTACAAGTAGTGCTGCAAAGGGGTTTTGATGCCTCCTCACCAGGAGGAATTGTTTAACCAGTCTGCCCTTAGACACTTCAGGAGCAATTATGCCTGCTTGGACCAGATAAAGCCTGCCGGCTACACTGTGGTAGAGCAAGCTGTTTTCAGTAAAACACAGCACTGTACATGTTACTCCTGTAATGCATAAAGAGCCCAGGACACTTGAGAGGAGGGTCCTGACCATGCTGCTAATTAGAAAACCTTCTGAATCACTGAAATTTCAGCAAACCTGCCAGTCTTTGCTCACACACTCACCAGAGTTTCCTAAAAATACAATGGGAACAGAGAGAGAAAATATTTCTCACGTGTTCAGGAACTTTAGTTCAGGGTTTTAAAAATAATACCAAAAAACTGCCAGACTTTGCACCTACTTTCAGGTTTTATCATTTACAATCTGTGGGTATTTATGTCTGCGTCTGAATCGTGCAAACATGCATATAATACATATTGCACACATTTACACCCACATGCAAGCAGAGCCAGGCAGATCCACAGAAGCAGAGATTTGCATTTATTTTATATTCATTTAATTGTCCTTAGTTTACTGGAGAAAACAAGGGGGTTTTGCTAATGGAACTGCGGTTATATTTAGGGAAATGAACTTAGCTTTCTCGTTGTTATCATCACATATAAAGAAGCAATTTCAATAACATGTATGTCAGCAGATTCTTGGTGATGGTACATCCTTCAGAAAGAATCCGAGTAGACTTCACTGACCCCAGAGTGCTGAGAGTAACATGAAACTTACTCTGACTTGTAAACTGAGCAAACATGACACGGAGATCACAGAATAAGGGCATCTATGCATCTTTCAGCCCTTGTTTTGACAAAGTGACTTCTTTCTCCAGAGGGACATTTCTGCCATTTTTTTCCAGCATGTTTCACCTTTCACTATTAATCCCAGTATGTCTTAGCTGCAAATTACAATTCCCACCCATAAGCTCATGGGAGTTAATTTTTTTTTCATCATTTATTTGAGCAAACACAGTTAGCACTGAGAAGATCTAAGAAAATAAGGGTATGGAAAACAACTTAATAAATTCAATTTAAATCAAATATAATAAGTTACAAATACTAGAACAAAGAGTATTATTAAAATTGACATTCATTAATGGAAGGGTTTTATTACTAACGTCTTTAAGAAGAAATCAAGGTAGACCATAACATTTTTGAAAGTCTGTGCATTTTCTAATACTCTATGCAGTATTCCTCCAGGTTTAGTAAGATAGTTTCCCTGTGTCTGATGCAGTCTCACATGTATGTAGACATCAGTTTTAAACAGAATTTTCAGAACTTTATGAACTGGATTAACAAAGGAAGTTTTGCTAAAAGTGAATTTATTCAGAATATCCTTATTTTTCTAAATGCATGGCTTATGAAACATTTGATTGTCGGCGTGGATAGCAGCCCAGCACAGAAGACTTCAAAATACAGGTACTGGCACAGCAACTAGCATATTTATTCAGTGTAGTTGGACAACTGTGAATGGGGTTCAGCATCTTCATGTTAGCTAACTAATAAAGCACTATTAGCAGTTATCAATGTGTATGGTAAAGGACGCCGGAATTCCTTTCCCTCATTTGCAGATGGGAAGTTGAGACGTGTCAAAGATCACTGAAGACTTTTGCTGGAACCCATCCTCCTGATTGTCTTTTCAACTAGACCATCAAATTGGAGAACAGTAGTAGTGGCTGTATATGTGACTGAATGTGATGGGCTTGGTTGTCTTTGTTGTGTAGGTTATTAGGTTAGTGATGCCAGTTCCAAGTCTGGAAAAACCAAATGTCAAGCTAGACCAGGAAACACAGGAGCTAACTTCTTTTTTTTTTCACAATGTTGAAAAGTGTAAGGTAAAACGGATTAACTCTTTTGCCCGTATAATAACCAAACTCCGTTTCAAGGACAATTTAATGGTCCAGATATGTGTTTTCCCATGGTGTGACTCTTAAACAGACTTCAGTGGGTAGAATAGCAGCATTTTGTAGCTTCTAAGTATTGTCTGGTTTTTGTTTTTCCCAACAGAGCTACAGTGAACCTATTGATGTTAAAGCCTCCCCACAACCTCAGATGATGAATTCAAAGCAGTCAGTGTTCCATGGGCCCTCCCAGGCTCACTCTGCACTGTACCTCAGTTCCCACTACCACCAACAACCAGGAATGAATCCTCACATCACTGCCATGCATGCCAATATCCCCAGGAACATAGCGCCTAAGCCCAACAACCAAATGCCAGTGACTGTTTCCATAGCAAACATGGCTGTGTCCCCACCGCCACCTCTTCAGATCAGCCCCCCTCTGCACCAGCATCTCAACATCCAGCAACACCAGCCAATTTCAATGCAGCAGTCCATTGGAAATCAGCTACCAATGCAGGTCCAGTCTGCTTTACATTCACCTACAATGCAGCAAGTAAGTTTGAGCTTTTCAGTTGTCTGGGGATTTTTTTTTGTGGTGTGGGAAGGGAAGGTGTCCAGAAACTGTCATAGTGAAGGAGATTTAGAGCTATGGATTAGCTTTAATTTTGCAGAGTTCCAAAACTGTGATAGTTTAGTCTGAGGACTTAGTCTTTCAAAGGCAAGAACAATGAATGAGTTTACCTAGATGATGGGGAATTTCAGGAGAACTGTTCGTGCTAGCAACAATGTTCAGCACATTCTTCTGAACACTAGCCTTCTCTCCCCGCAAATTCAGGACGCATCCTTTAAGTAGAAGTGTGTCCATCTGCAAATATGGGAGCATCCTGAAATATAAGTGAAATGTTAAGTCTTCAGGAAACACGTTTTACAAACAAAAGGCAAGCATGTCTAGAAAAAGATGTAATTGCAGCTTGTGCTGTTATCCTTGTGCTGACTGTGATGTGGAACAGTCAGAGGGAACATGAAGCAACACGGGTCATGTTAAACATGCTTGATTAAGTGAACACAAGTATGTTAGTTTCTGCTGCATTCATAATTTCATTTTGCTAGATAGGTATACCTTTTTTTTACTGGAAATAAGTGGGCTGTGCCCAGTATTCCAATATAATGGTGCTCTTTTTTTCCTTCGTTCTCAATGGTTTAGTTGATTCTCTATGCATTTCCTAGGAGTTCTGAATGAACGCAGGCCAAGCATAATATTGTGACTTTTGGGCCCAGGACTGTGGAGGGTTAGAGCAAATTAACTCTGCTCATGTCATGAGAGAAAATTTCCGTTTGTATTGGGTGAGGCCTCACTATCAATAATAAGATCTTGCTTTGCAAAGAGGCACTAGAATGAAATTTTTTTTGTATGGAGTTGCAAGAATCTACAGAATTTGTAGACACAAAACTTGTCAGTTCTGGTTGATGATAAATAGTCATGAACTTGCTGCATGTTTTGAATATCTCTATAAATTCACCTTTGCTAGCAAGGCATTTGCATTTGCTTTCCAAGCGAGAAGCATTTCATCTCAAGACTGGTCTTTATAGAGAAGGGAATACCTGAACACAAAACATAGCTGGGAGAACAGATTAATGGGGAAAGAAATTTTTCAAAGCAGGACAAAGGCAAAAAAAGAGAAAGATTTGAAAGCAATCTGGACTGATAAATTCAGCTGTTCAGAAGGTAAACCAAGGTTTGGCGCTCATGACATGATTTTTTTCAGTCTTTGATCTTAGTCCTGAGAGTGATTTGGAGTAATCAGACAGGAAGGAAAACTTGTAAAGTGTTTTTCCCGGTCCAATTTGTTTTTTGCAATCAGAGTAAATACTCAACAGACTTATGACCACAAAAATGTGGAGTCTTTCACTGCCATGTATTCCTGAAGGTTTTCCTACTGGTTAGAAGTCCAGTGTCCTGGTGTGAGTGTCCTGGGAGAGTGCATGCTCAAGTCTCAGAAAAACTCAGGAATTAGCCGCAAACTTGGGCAGCTGGAATTAGCTAGGGAAGGTCTTAGACAGGTGGGCCAGGAGGGTCTGTCTGGAGCTCCTAAGCTTTATGCAATCCTGGTTGAACCTGAAGAAGGGTCAGGGCAATGAGAAACAAAGCAATGGACTCAATGCAATATCCTGGTTCATTTACCAAACATGGCAAATGACATTTGTGACAAAAGCTTGTTTAAATTGTATAGTTATATTTCACTGAGTTTTTACTGGAAATCCTGTCTTCCAAGTTCAGATCTTTTGCCAGGTTCAGTGTCCCTTGTACATTACTTGTCCAATGCAGAGCTATAGAAGATAAAACCCCTTATGTCTTTTCGAGAATCATTGGTAGGCATAATTTACTCAACAGATTTTAAAATCTGGCTTTATTTGTTGAATTAATAGTATAGTAGGAGCTAGGAAAAGATGTAATGCAGATGTTAGATACTTACAAATGTATACATACAACATCATCATTATTGTATGAATCCAAACACTTGGGTGCTATTCCAAACCATTACTTACTGCAAAAAAAGGTAAGACAATATGAATCTTCTGACGCTTTATTTTACCAAGTTGCACTCTTGTAGCATATGGTTGCTACATCAATGGCTTGAGAATACCTTCACTCATCTGTGAGATGTGTGGCATGCAGTTATTTCTAGCTTAAGAGAAAACACAGGGCACTAGGTTGTATAAAAGAGGTGTCTAGAAGTCAATATGTAGACCTGTAATATGACGGATCTTGCTTTACTAAGTACAAGTACAGTAAAGCAAAAAATGCTGTATCTCTGTGTTCCTGCTCTCCACTGTTAATCTCCTGAAAGGTTAGGTTAAATACTTTTTACCAGCTCATATTCCTTAGTCAGAAAGGCTGATGCTTATAATGAAGATACCATGGTGAGGTATTTCTGAGCTTCGGTCAAAGTGGCAGGTGCTTAGAACATGTTGAAATGCTACACTGCCAATCTTAACTACATTTCCCTTTAAGCACTGTGGAACATCTACAAGCCAGTTTATACTTCTTAAACTCTTGCTTTTGTTTCAAAGTGATACAGCCTTTGAGCTCTGGAAAATCTATGTAATTTCACTTTGGAATATTTGTTTGTTTATTTATTTATTTATTTAAGCATACAAAAGTTTACAGAGTTTGAGAATTTAGTTTAAATATAGAATCCATTTCCTTTCAAGAGTGATGTTGGTAAAGACAAAGCAAAAAGTATATTAAATTTTAGGGCAACAGGCATACTAACTCTATAATTTGCCATGCCATGAGTAGCACAGTGGTAGCCTGTCTAGTCTTCTAGTTATTCCTCTTTCTAGTCATACTCACACTATATTAGAGAACAGTATCCCCAGGATTTCATACTGCATTAGAAGACAGGTTGGCGACCAGAAGACAAAGAGCAAGAAGTCAAGAAACTGTAACCTGAAAGTAAAGGCCTCTATCTGGCTCAGTGTTCTAAGGACTCTGCTCTCCTCTCTGCTTGAAACACTGCTCATCACAGAGTGAGTTAAGAGGAAAAGACATAGTGGAAAAAGAAGCAAGCCCTCCAAATGATGGAGCAACATAGAGTCAACAGCAGTGAGGATAAACAAGAGGCACCAACCTGTATGCTGGTGCATGGTGAGGAGGGAAGGAGGTCTCTGGATGTGAGGCTCCAGTCCCCAGCAGCACAGTGTAGACCCTGCTACTCTGCTACATAAAAAGACATCCAAGAAGAATGGAAGAATATGTGGTCTGGTAAAGCAGAAGCAATAGCTGTATTTATTTCAACTTTTTTTTCACTTCCTCTTCTCTCAGCTGTTTGATTTCCTCCATGCTAAAGGTGTGGCCACACTAAGGCTTTTCCCGAGACTCCAACAGGCATCTAGTTTGTGTAAGCAGAAGAACAGAAACTAATTAACGTCCCACTCCCTACAGCATGACTTACAATAGGAGACATTTTCCTTGTCGGGAGCCTCACCACTGCTCATACCAAACAGACTAATGCATTTTAAGAAGAAATTAAGTAAATTTCTGCATGTCACACTACAGCATGAAGCTTAATAGGCAAGGGAAGGGTAAGTCTGCCAGCAGGTTCCTAACAGTCTTCTACTGCAGGCATTCACAGACTCACCTTTGCTGGACACCACCATTGCAGATAGCTGTGCTGCAGACCTGTTAGAAGCAGTAGTCACAGCTCCCACCAATGGTGGGTTGTCATTTCTTCCCTTTTTTTCCTCAACATCTAGCTTTGGAAATACTTAGTGGCTTACTAGTGTGGTGCTCAGTGGTAGCAGGCTCAGGAAATCCCTGCGTTCTACATACCCCCTGCTTTAACACTGTGTCTCTGGGAGATTTGGTCACTCATTTTCTTCAGGACAGGGAGGATAGTTTCTTATCTTAAAGGCTATCTTGTAGTATGTCTGAAGTACAGCCAGCTCCAAGAAGAATCGCATAAAGAACCAGATCCCAGTCCCGCAAGCAGGAACACAGTTCTTCAAAACTGTTGTGCGTGAAATCCACAAACTCTTCTTCTGTGTGTAACTTTGAGGAGAACTGATAAGAAGTGCTGACCTGGGGAGAGAGTTCTGCCCCCACTGTTACCAGGACAATGTGCTGATCTTCATCAGCTCCACGGGGAACAGCATGTCCTCCACTTCCAGCAGTCCTTGCCTGCACATGTGCAGCTGCCAAACCAAGAGAGACTGCCAGCTGGAGGAGGGCAGTCTCCTCCACGAGTCCACAAAAAGTACAGAGCATCAAGAAGATCAGAAGGGTTGGTAGCCAAAAATCCTCAGTGACTGCACAATTTCTGTTATTTTTAAAATCAATTAATTCTGTGGAGTATGCTGCAATGCATCCAAATTGTTCTGAAATGCACAAGGCAAAGTAATAATTTAAGTATTAGCATTTTGGTCATATGCCTAGAATTAGTAAATATTTTTTAATTTGTTTTGAACAATCTTCTCTATTTTGAGTTATCCAAATATTTTTTTTTATATTTTTTCTGAAAAGTAGACTATTTTCTCTCTTTTCCTTCCTGTTCCAAAACAATAATGAATAAATTAAATAATGGGCACTACTGTAGATCTTTGGGGTACTTGTTTACAGTGTTAATCCTTTACACTGTAAGAAACAACTGTTTAGTTCTATTCTTATAGTTTAAATTAGATCCTGAGTTTTATTATATTTAACTTCTAATTCTGAAATATGCTGTGTTTTTCTTAAATATTATTGAAGGGAGCCATGTTAAAGTTTTACCTTGTTAAAGTCTAAATCCATTATGTAGCAGTTTTTCTTTCATCCACCTTTGACACACTGGAAGAAACTCGGTAGATTAGATTTTTCTTTCATTAAATGCTCATGCGAGCATCTTATCAGGGTATTATTTTTAACCTGATAAAATAGTTGCTTGTCTCCAGTCTGTTTCTTAGGTTTGACATGATCTTTAATTTTTTCTTAGCTGCTATCAGATTGTCTGAATCTTAACCCTTGTCATTTAAATCACCTCAGTTTCTCCAACGATCAGGTTAAAATGGTGTCTGAAGTTGCAACCTGTTTTTTCTCTCAAAGTTGTTCTTTCCTTTCTCTACTCACACAGACATTTTTGCTCCTTTCTGAGTGTACCATGCTCTCCAGGGTGTTGTACTGTGCTGTTTCGTGTGGGGAGCGATGACCCTGAGGATTAATTCCCTCCTAAATATGCCCAATCCTTGTTAAGGAAGCCTTTTAAGTAGCTCTACTGGAAGCATCTCCTTCCCTGCTCAAAAAGCATTGTGTGGGATGGGAAGTCCTGTTACAGTCTCCGTCCCACATCAGTTCACAGGTAGAACAAGCAAAACTAGATTCTTAATGCCTGGTAACCATGGCTGCAAGTGTATGCATAACAAAGAAGCAGAAGATTAATGTATGTCACATTTTATTTTTTATTTTTTTAAATAATAACTCATTTCAGTCTACTTTTAGGTATTTCTTTTCCTTTTGAAAATAAATGTATACAGCAAGATGATTGCATAGCCTGCCAAAAATAATAGCCTCATTTTTTTCTTGTATATATTATATATAGTAAACTCAGGGACCTGCTGTATTTGTCCAGATTTTTCCTCTTTTTTGTTAAGCTTTGTCTTCGAATGAGGTCAAGAGAAAAAAAAATCATTAATATCTGTCAACTTCCTTTATAACCTTAAGGAAAAATCTTTCTATGATATCACACAGACAGATTTTCAATTTCCTTGTGTAATAAACAGATGCTTTAGGATTTGGATGTAATTTAAAGGTTTAAAATATCACATTGAGATTGATGAATAAATCAGTTGTGAAGACAAAAACATTGATGCCTGTTGAAAATACCTCTCCAGACAGGCAGGAAATGAAATTAGTTCCCAGTAAAGTGTGGAGATGAGGATCACTGTTTAGTTCTGCTGCAGGCTTTTTAGGACTTGCTACAGTGGCACAACAAAACTGCTAGGGCTACAGAAATCTAATTAAAGAGCAAATGTCCCTCCTGACATCGAATTAATCTTTATCAAGTTCCCTATTTTTATTTCAATCTGGAACAAGAAAATGAAGTTTAAAATTCTAGGCATGTTGCAAAACAGTTGGTGATTTTCTCTTGGGCATTACAATGCAAAAACATTCAGCATTGTTTAATTAGACCTTGAAGCACTCATTTTCTGAGCACTTTCTATTTCATCATTGTTTGTTAAGGGCTCACATAAATAATACACAAATATTTACTACAAGCCTGGTACAAGGCTGTCTCCCTCTGTTGTACCTATCTGTATTTCCAGAGCTTTTCTGTTGGTGAAAAAGCTGAAGTAATTACTGCTTACATCTTCAACATCACCATGCTTTATCAGTCCTTCATATTGAGTTCGGGTTTCATGAATTACTTTGTCTTAGAAGCACACTTCCCAGCACCCACATTGCTGGTATCCTGGTAGCCCTCAACCCCAGTGGGACCACAGCCTGGCTCAGATACCTCTGCACCACATTAAAATCTAGCATGTGAGCATGTCCTAAGAAACAGGCTTCAATCCCAGACAGTTGTAAACTAAACAGACTTGACAGGTGCAAGATGAAAGTGTTGTTATCCCTTATTTTGCAGATAGGAGAATTAAGTTTGGAGCCGTGGTCCCAGCTTTAATATTAGAGGTATCAGTTCAGTCCAAGCACACGTGCACGCATGCTTCGCTGGAAGACAGACAAAGCAATTTGACTGTGGTCATACAGAAAACCTGAGAAAATGTAAAAGTAAGTCTCCACCCAGTTCCAAGATGTCATTTAGACCACAGGACCTTCATTTATTTCATTTAGGACAAGGGATATTGGCTTTGAACTGAAAGAGGGGAGATTTAGATTAGGTATTAGGAAGAAATTTGTTACTGTTAAAGTGGTGAGACACTGGAACATGTTGCCCTGAGAAGTTGTGGATGCCCCATCCCTGGCAGTGTGCAAGGCCAGGCTGAATGGGGCTTTGAGCAACCTGGTCTAGTGGAAGGTGTCCCTGCCCATGGCAGAGGGGTTGGAAATGATCTTTAAGATCCTTTCCAACCCAAACCATTCTGTGATTCTATGATTCTATTATTTGTCTTAAGTCCAGGAGAACTGGAATGGATATTTCACTGATGGTCTCTTCCTCTTATTTGAGGGAACTGTCTCTTCTTGCCACATGCTCACTTGCATGCTTTACTACAGCACTGCTGGAGCTGCTGGCCCCATATAGTGTTTTTCTTGTATATGGTTGTTTCATGAAGACTGATAAGAGAGAGCTCAAGGGCACTTCTACCAAAGGTAAACCTGATTGCCTGAGGGTAGGATGTGTTTCTGTAGTTAGTTTACTCTTACAGCTAAATTAGAAAGTCCTTATGGGTGATGTTTTGTATAAAAATTATCATGGTGAGCTACAAAACCAGTTTTTTGCTTTCTAATTACACGAACCTACAGTTAAAGTAATTAGGAAGTCTGCTCAATTACAGTTTCCTTTGGATCTGTTGCAGGCATGGGGGTTGTTTAAGCAGCCTGATGTGCAGCTTTGGAGCCTGATGAAAAGGCAGTGTACAGTCACCATGGGTGGGTTTTATTGTACTTTATTAGCTGGGCAGTGTATAATTTACATGACAACTAGATGCAGAATTCAGCTGTGAACTGCTACTGTTTCTTGGAGTCAGCAAGGACGAAGTGCGGCTTCAAAGAGCTGAAGTGTGTACTGAAGTGTGACTTGGGATATACTCCATATGGAAGATAATATGGAACAAAATGGCACTCATTTATGGCCACAATCCAAGATCAGGATGAGTGGATTGGGTTGATGGTGCACACAAGAGACACGGCAGGGCAGAACACCCACAGGACCTCTGGGGAAGAGCGATAGTATACTGCACCAAGGAAGAGGGATTTGAAGAAGGAACCAACATTCTGTACTTGAAGGAAGTTCATTTCTGTGGATGGAGGGGCCAGGCAAAAACTGAGAATACTCATTTATATCGATTAAAGATAGTGTGGCTGACTTCTTAAACCTGGAGGAAAAAAAAACCATCTCTCCACAAAATTCCTGTCCCAGTGAAGTCTGTGTGCAAGAAGTGATCACAGATAATGAGCTAGAATTTAAAACTAAAAGCTGTGAGAAGCTGTGAGCTTTAATTATGTCTATTCTGTACATGGACTTTGGCCAGACAGAAGGGGTTTTCAGACTAGGTATCTTGGTTCAGGTTCAGTTTCTGATTTAGCAGCTACACATCCACATAACTTGAGTAGGAACTGTGTGCCCTTCCCCAGGAAGGAGTTTGGTCTGGCTATTTTTCAGCAGACATTGATTGCTTTCATACTGCATTCCCATACTTTTACCCAATGTAGTTCTTACAACTCTACAGGAATATGATATACATTTTTACAGGGTGAACCAGATACATTAGCCTTGAAATTTCAATTGTTCTCCTGGTTTTGAAACACAATATTTAAACATCCTCATATATCAAAAGAGCTAAAAATTATAATGACTTCATATGACAGAGATTTCAGGGAGCAGGTTAGATGTCTCTTTGTAACTTCCACTTTTTTTCTCAGCTTCTTAGTTTCAAAAAGCAAGTTATTCTGTGCTACTTTCACTACATTAGTCCAACAACTGTTAAAAGGCTTTGGCTGAATTTCTGTTTAGTTGAGAGAGAAGTACAAATAAAAGAAGCAGCAGATGGTCCCTTTGTGACTGAATGAAGAAAAAGGGGTTTGAGAACAATATGTGAATAGGTGTAGTCTAATAAAACAGTCAGCCACCTGCTGCCTCCATCCTTCAAAAAGATTCTGTTGCATATTCTGGGAATTAACAACTAGTGTGTATCCTTACATTTAATCTAAATGGAAGCTCTAAGGAGCAAACAGGCTTTTTTGCCCCAGTGCTGATTGAGTTGTTCTCTTGATTTTGAATTGTTTCTGCCCTGTCCCTTTTAGTTCCTTCTTGTGACTTAACAGCTAACAATTCGGCAGCATTTCATTTCTCAAATCGAAGAAAGATTTAAAAACTTAGAAAGCACTGACAAGTTTTTTTTTCCCATTTGAAGTCTGATGACCTAAAGTACACCCGGAAAAGAAGTATTCTACAATTTCATAGTACACACATTTTGGGTTTTTTTAATACACCCAACCACTTGCTTGGTTTCCATACATTGTAATGTACTTGCTTTCTCCTCTAGGGATTTACTCTTCAACCTGATTATCAGAATATCATCAATCCAACATCAACAGCTGCACAAGTTGTTACCCAAGCAATGGAGTATGTTCGTTCAGGGTGCAGAAATCCTCCAGCACAGACCGTGGACTGGAATAATGACTACTGCAGTAATGGGTAAGCAGCAAGTGAATGCCACCTTGTGTCGAGCAATATTCATGACACAGGTATCTGATAGAAAATTTGGAAACGGCTTTGTTGCCTGTTTCACCGTGAATGCACTGTATTTATTCAGCAGTTAAACTGCTGTGGGAGAACAAGTTTTCAATACGTACATTTATTAGATAATGTTGTCACTTTATCACAGCGCATACACTTTGGTCTTAGAGTACTTCCATTTGTTAGAAAATCAGAACTGAAATCTTAAGGGAGAAGGTGTGGGAAAGAAGTATTAAGATCACCATGTCCTACCCGAGAGGCAAATAGCATGAACTGTTTTCTCCAAGTACTCCATTGCTGAGGAGAGCTTGCTGCCAGTGAAAACAACTAGTTTGGGTCATGAGAACCCACAGTGAGATGCAGGAGTGATGCATCCGATACAAGATACACAGAAGGGAATGGCATGAGGATCACATGACTGCAACCAGAAACAAAACACTCTACCCGTAGGAGCTCTACCATAAGGTTAGTAGCTCCTTCAAACCCTCAGCTCCTCTGCAGCATGGTTTTTGTGGAGCCGTGTTACTGTGCCCAGAACTGAATGGGAACATTTAAGACTCTGAACAGAAGGTGTCTTTTGAGTTTTAAATGATAGATGTTGTGTCTTGTGAACATGCTGACCTCTCCTTGACCTTGGCATGAATCACTAAGGCAAAGGCAAATAAAAGCTCTTAGTTGCTACCAAATCATCAAATCTAGCCCAGACAAATGAACACAAAGCAGAACTAAAGACCAGTTTTACCCATTACATACACTCAGACTGAGAATTTCACTTGCATTATTGTTCTAAAGTGTTTCTGGAACTCAAACTAGAACTGAAAAAAAATTTTTTCTGGTTACTAGTTCAGAATAACGCCTTGACTAGAACCTGCTGACACAGAGGCAGACTTCAACTAGCCTGCACAGCAGCATCACCTTCCCCCGTACCTAGCACAGTTATCCCATGACTTGCCCATTTGTTCAGCAGAATGGTCTTGCTTCTGTGCTATACCATGATAATGTCTTGATCTGTGCTGCAGGCCCTTGTAGGAGCCTACCCAGCCAACAGACTTTTATGCCCACTTACACTGAACTCTGACTAGACTGTCCTCTGTCAAACAAGCCATAACCACCTGTGGCTTTGATTCCTGGTCTCTTCTGGAAAAAGCAATGTGCAATTATTCCCAGCAGTGCTCTCTAGGTGCACACTGGATGTATTTTTCCATTGGCAGAAGCTTTCTCTGAGCAGACCCTGTATATACCCTGTGTAGATAAGCCTTTGTGAATCTGTGTGCATGGACTTAACCTATCTCTACCATAGCAGTGGTGTAACTGCCAGTGCAGTGTAGCTTGCTCTGTGCTGCTCTTGGACTCCAAACTAAGTAAACTATAAAGCTGTGGAAGAATAGAACTGGTGCCTGGGTTTTGGTGAGGAAGCAGGAGATTAAGAGTAAAGCCTCTCTCCCAGAAAATCTCTGCAATGTGAACCAAGCCACATCAGTGATGCGTCTTCTGCTTTAAATGATGTATATTTTTCTGACTTCTACAGACTGTTCCAAATTAGAAACTGGTAAATGGTTCCTTTTTGCTCTGAACTGGTATGCTTCAGTTGAAGCTGACATCCAGCAAGAACTGAATGTGTGCTAGACACAGTGCATTGGTGGGAGGTCTCCTGCAGAACCTGGTCTCCAGTAGAGAGTTGGTCTATTTGGCTTTGCCAGAAGCTTCTGATGTTGCTTGAACCTGCCCACCCAACAGGTTTTGGCTGCCTGTGTAAGATAGGCCAGACATATCAGTGGCTGGCACCTATGTTCATGTAACTAAGCTCTCCTGCCCTCTAAGGAAAGTGGCCACATCATATTAGGGTGCTTATGGAGTATCATTCCAAGACCTATGCTGAACCCTCAGCTGTAACTATGCAGTATATGAGAGAGGGACCATCGGCACTACCAATCCGCTAGAGAAGGTGATGACCCACATCCCAGTCCTGTGTGGTTTAGAGCCAAATGTGGTCTCCAGGTTGCTATATGCCACTATAACATTAGGATTTTCCTTATTATTACCATGGTAATGCAGCCATACTTCAGTGATATGCTGGGAATCAATGACGTGGTAGAGTTGTGGGTTTGGGGTTTCTTGCAAGAATAGGCCTAAAATATTGGGAGGGAAAAAAATCACATTTGTTCTTTTTGTTTTTGAACAGGGGCATGCAGAGGGACAAAGCACTCTACCTTACCTGAAAATCTGAAACACTCCTTTCCACTGAGGAATGCAGGGAAGTCTTTTCATCATGGATTGCTTTATGCAGTCGAGGCAGTTCTGCATTTTATTAGGAAATACAAGTTGCTAAGCACTTAGGACTATTTGAGCTTGTGGGTCACCCACTCTGGAAAAAATAGTCTTGCTTCTTTCTTTTTTCTTTTTCTTTTTCTTTGTCTTTTTCTTTTTCTTTTTCTTTTTTTTTTTCCTTCTTTTCCTCCCCCCATTTTTTTCTCTTTCTTTCTCCTTTCCATCCCTACCCTGAGATCCTTTAACGGACGTTGCTTTTCTTCTTCCCTGAAGGAAACTTGGACCATTCATATTTTATGTTGGTTTTTGCTGTGAAGTGCTGCGATAGTAACTGCCTTAGCAACTGTAGATGTCTCAGATAAAAGTCCTGGATTTTCCATTGGTTTTTCATAATGGGTGTTTATATGAAACTACTAAAGACTTTTTAAATGGCTTGATGTAGCAGTCATAGCAAGTTTGTAAATAGCATCTATGTTACACTCTCCTAGAGTATAAAATGTGAATGTTTTTGTAGCTAACTGTAATTGAAACTGGCTCATTCCAGTTTATTGACTTCACAATAAGGGTTAAATTGGCAAACATTCATATTTTTACTTCATTTTTAAACAACTGACTGATAGTTCTATATTTTCAAAGTATCTGGAGAAAAAAAAAAAGTAAAATATTCCCGAATGATATAAATTAAAAAATATTGGCTTTGTCACATGAAATACACATAAAAAAAATAAGAAAGAAACTAATGTTGATAAAGAGCAAACATGTTTATTTTGTACTGCCTAAAAAATGCTTCTTTTTTTTTTTTAAAGAAAATCACTTTATGTGTACTGGTTAAGAAACGTCATTTAAGTCCTTTCATGTATAAAACTGCCAAATGCTTACCTGATACTTTATTAGATGCAGAAACAGATTGGAGACAGCTAAATTATAACCTTTACATATGGCTATGTATTATTGTTTCTTCATACTGTGTCTGTATTTAATCTTTTTTATGGAACCTGTTGCGCCTATTTATGAAATAATAAATATAGGTGTTTGTAAGTAAATTTGTTAGCATTTGAAAGAGGTTTCTTTGACGCTTTAACTTTTGCTGGCACAAATTGTTCACAGCTGATGTGAATACTTTATTTAGTTTTTACAGTGACATATATAACACCAAACCTGCTTTACTGGCAGAAAATGAAGGTAACCAATACTTATTTCTCTATTTCTTTGGTTGTTAAGGAAAAATAAAAAAGAAAGAGCTATTTTAAGTAATTCCCTTTTTAAAACATTTTAGCAGGAAGTTGCGCAAGACTAAGGCTTGAACCAACAAAACTAACTGAATAAAGCTGCATAACGCTGCTTCTTGAAACTTCATCAGTTTTGGTTAATTAGTCAATCGGCATAAAAATATTACCAACAGAAATATTACCAAATATGCTTCAGCCATTTTATTATACATGCAAAAGGTCCTACAGAGTTTTAGGGACTGTGGCACAAATAAAGTGAAAGGTAAGTTCAACAGCCACAGGGAAAGGGTTAAAAAAATCCAAAAGAAGGTATTTTGTCATTGTTTTGGATCAGGGATAGCTCTGAATATATATTTCTGAAGGATTTCATCCCAGATGGTTGTCCAGTTAATGGAGAGTACCACAGATTTGTATTTTCTGTGTGAAATAAAGAAAGCAACTCAGATAAAATACACATTATGCAATGCCATTGATTTTTCTTTAAAAGCAAAACAGAAACAAAGGCATGCTTGCTTTTCAATGATTTCAGGCAATGTACAATCGGAATCACTTGGCATGTAATAACTAATAAATAATGCAGATCAGATGTGATTACTCAAATGACTGTAGCTGAGAGCTCTAATTTTCCTGTCTTGAAACTGTATGAGAACTCGTGATTAAATTCACAGTTTATTGTTTGTCTGTTTAGTACTTTAGAAATATACCAGCACTACTAATTACCCAATGTCTTCTATTTATTATATTATAGTAAACTACATTTTCCACTCATATTAATTTTAAAGCAAGAAGATAATTACTGGGGATGAGAAAAATCAGCTTTGATTTTGAAAGGCAGTTTTCCTTTTTCTTTTATGGAAAAGAACTGTGTTATCTTCATTTCTTTTAGAGCAGGTGCATAGTCACATAAAGTTGTTAATTTCGGTATCCAATCAGAGTTCAAAATACAAGAAAAACTTTAATGTAAATAAAAAAAAATACATCATGAATAAAATACTTATTCTGTATGAACCTCTGGCTAGTTGGTGTCCCTCAGTCTGTAAGAAGGGAAACCTGCGGTGTGTTTACCGTGCAGCACCTCACCCATCCGCTGCTTTGAGTGTGGTTCTGTGCCTGGGCTCTGTTGGGACGGGACAGCTATGCTGGAAGAGCAGCAGTTTTGGACAGGGTTATACTGAAACCACTTTGTTCCAAATGAAAGATCCAGCTTGGATGCATAAACATCAGTTCTTTGTGTCTGACCTTGGGAAAAAGCAATGTTTGCCAGCCAAGGGCAACTGCTACTTTGGTTTCAGCTGTGCATTGACATACACAAGTTGTCAATAGATGTAGCCTAGAAAGTTGAGACCTTTTTGTAAGCATGTGGATCTCCACTGGAGTTCATGAAGGTATGCCCCATCCTTCGCTGAAGCACTGTGGCTTAGGCACCACAGTAACACATACACCCAAGTCACTGGTTGCAAGTCGCCATCTGTCATAACGATGATTGAAAGCACACAGGAACAAAACAACCTACACATTGAAGCAACACAGTACAGCAAGTGAATAAGATAAAGACATTTGTCAAAGTGATAGAAGCAAAAGGAAATAATGTCTTTCATCAATTGAATTTGTAATTACTTTTTTAAAGTGGCAGGCAAAATGCAAGGTTAGCAACATATGCACTCTGCAAGATGTAAATCCCATTTGCTTTCACTAAGGTAAGCAGAGGTTTTGAAAAGGAAAGGCTGCTCTCAGTGTGCCCCATTCTGGCAATGTGAGTCCCGGTCTGTCACCAAATTCACAGAAGTTAGAGCAGAAATCCCACCCGGCTGCTGCCTCTGGCCCAAAGCAGCTTTTCAAAGGGACCCACTATAGGATTCCCCCACACACCATTCATCCACAAGCAATAAGTAATGTATTCATGGAGGGCCTCAGCCATTCACAATGAAATGTAATGTATTCATGCCCACTTCTCTCTCTCTCTTACCAAGTACCAATTCCTGACTCCAGTGGTGTCTCTGCCAAATATTCCCTGTGAGGCTCCTCTGTAAACAGGAAACCTGACAATAAAAGAGCTCATTACTGGAAGGTAAAACATGCTCTTACCACCTTCCTCAACCTTCTGAGACTTCATCTCAACTTGAACTACCATCTCCCAAGACTATATCTGCTTATTTCTTACCCGATCCTGTAAACATGGCAGATCCACAGAGATCTCTTTCTGTGCCCTGGGAAACGAAGGAGGTAAAAATCCTTCTTTTGCACACACTGTGAGAAGTAGCTGAAGAGCTGTATGTAACCCATACAGAATTTGCTCCACAGAGCTCCCATTAATAGGTAGGCATAGATAGATTAGCGGTAGAGGTAGAGGCAGAGGTAGAGGTAGAGGCACAGGGGTAGAGGTAGCACTAGAGACAGAGACGCACGCAGACAGAGACAGAGAGACAGAGACATAGAGATAGATACAACAATATTGCCCTCTTAATTATTTATCTGGTGTCTTCAAGTCCTTTTTCATTGAAATTAAATACTCTTTACTGAGTACTGCAGTGTGCTGGCAGTGCTGCAGGAGGTGCTCAGCACCTCAGAGAACACGAGGTGCTTTGTGTCAGGTCTCACAGATGACATTTGCTTTCCTTTGCAAAGTCATGTATTTTATTATTACCCAGCAGCACATTAAATCACAACTCAAATGTAGTTCTTATTCCACCGGCAAGAGGACAAGTGAGAACAATGACTTGTAACATTTCAGAGCCTGTCACAGTTACTGCCTAATTAGAGAAACCCACTAGCAAATGTGCATCTGCATGGATCCTGCCACTGTCATCATTTCACATTCTATTAAGGGCTTGCTGCGATAGACACTTTACAAAGAAATTTTGTTCAGGCTAATACCAAGCTGGCAAACATGTAATTGGCTAGAAAATAAAACAGGAGAGGGGAAAAAATAAAGAGAGGAAGGGGAAAAGAAAAGGAAACATTCCTATTTGGAGAACAAGCTGTGTGCAAAAATCCACAGTATACTGCCGAGAAGATCCTTACCCTCTGACAATTGTGTGTTTACAACGAGTCTGAGCATAATTGCTCTGATGGGCTGTCAAGGAAAAGATTAATTTGGCAAAGATTAGTATTGACTTGCTGTTTATTAAGGCTTTTAAACAGCTGTATCTGGCAACATTCCTGTAAGTGCCTGTCATGTCTGAAAATCAGGCTCACACCCGGGTGCTTGCCAGCTGTTGCTAAACAATCTTACCACTTTGAGTATCTTTCTCCAGGCCAAACAGCAAGAGCAAAGTATTGCCAAATGAGTCTCTCTCGTCCTGTCACTTTTCAGGAGATCTGAGAGCTCAAATATCAGTTGATGGCTTGATGGCTGAGCTGATAGCAGCTGCTGGGAGCCGGCACAGTTGTTGGAAAGCTAGTGGTTAGAGAGGTGCTACACCAACCTGTCCCCCCCATGCCAAGGGGAGGGTTCTGCGGTTACTCATCTCACCAACACAGAAAACACAGCTCGCAGCTGCTGCAATGCAAAGGGGGTTTAAACCCCTTAGCGCCTGCGATCAAAGTTTGGTAGGAGGCACTCCCGAGTGAGTGGTTTAGCTCCCCCAGGCTCTGGTGGATCAAGCCAACAGGCTAGGAGGGGGTGTCAAAGTACAGTAGACACTGTTAATCTTTATAAAATGAGCCAATGTTTTCTTCTATGATTTTTTTTTCCCCCAGACTGCTGATAAACAAAAGTCGTAATAGCCACGCACGCGAAATACCCTGGGACAGTGGAAACCTGTAAAAGCAAATATGTCAGCCCTTATTGTTGTTACATTACTTAAAACATTTCAGCTTGCATTGTAGGCTTCAGTAGTGAGCTCAGAAACAAATAATACCAGTGG